TTTCATCTGTTTTTTTTTTCAGAATTCATATATGAATTATTATTTTTAAGTTAATGTTGTAGTATACGCATTTGTATATTTTTTTAAGTTAAATATTTGATGTAAACCCCTTGGAAAATCGAGGATTATTATTAAGAGAACGTTGTGATTTACGCACAGGTCAAATGCAATATCTTTATTTCTATAAAAAATTAATGACGACAATTCAAAAATTATTAAAAGCGTATAGACAGGATGAAATAAAATTAAGAATAAGATCGATAGTATGTTTTTGAGAAGCGACTGAAGAACTCGAAAAAAAATTCAAAATATTAAACTTCAAGGTTGGTCAATTAACTACGTAATTATTCTGATGTGTTTAATGTGAGTTTAATCGAAAATTTAAAATTCCGATAAAATTGTTAAAATTCACATCTGGCAACGGTAAAAAATGAATTTGCGCGTCGTAATTAAGCAAATTATTACTCCTATTAAATTATATATTAATATAATTAAATATTTCATTGTCTATAGTATTAAGACAAACAGTACATTAAACTCGATTAGAATTAAGAACTTAATTCTTCTACTTTAAAGTTTATATTTTCGAAAGTTTGGTTCAGGGTTTTTTTTAATCGTTTTCTTTTCTTAGTTTTTCAACAACGTACACACCATCGACCTTATTCATAATTCCTTAATCGCACTATATTCAAACTTACGTCCTGAAATGAATTGGTTGTAGTCCTAAGGCAAGGAATACAACTAATTCATGTTAATAACGTTACACATTGTTTGTTCTTTAATTTGGTATACCTAAATTTTTAATTATTTTAATTACATATAGTTTAGTTAACTTATCCAAAATTCTCTTTGATGTATCTGCTTTTTCATAAATTTTTAAAATGTGCAAATGAAAAAGGGTTCCATTGAAAAATATTGATAACATCGTTCTTTGACAATATCCGCTTTTTTCTAATTGTTTCTATATTTTACAGACACATAGTTAACTTGATAAACTAAATTACTTTGAGATTGATTCGATTTTCATAGTTTTATGCACGACAGTGGGTAAAGTCAAAAAAGATCGTAGAGTGATGCAAGGATGCACCTTGTTCTGCGCCTCCAACAACATCGTATCAACGCTAACCACATCGCACTGATACATCTCTACCTTAATTTACTTAACAGAAAAAAGTCCATTGTAAAGAACCACTCACAAGCCATAGAAAGCATTAGGGGCGGTTCCTCACGCATCACGAAGACTTCAACAACTGCATCAGCACCATATACACATCCACGTGCTCGTGGGGTCAAATGTCGTCAGTTTTGTTACACGGGCGGAAGTAGCTAAGAGGTTGCACTGTCAAATTCGTCGTCCCCTAAATCCGACTTGCATTTTAGGATCATGTGCCCTGTCATGGAGCACTGCTTCTCTCTCATGAATGAATCTGCGTTTTAAGGAAATGGGGGACACACAGCACGCGGAATAAAGTCTACGTTGATGGGGACGTGGACACATGTGGCAGAGATTTAGTTTTTGTGGAGGATCGCGCACTTTGTAGGAAAAAAATGTTTGAAGTGGGCAAAGGTTAAACTGGGTGTGCTAAGTAGAGAAATGTGTGCCACATTTGTTGTTTTGTATATTTTTCTAAACTTGTAGCCTTAATTAACTGAGAAGGCTTTTAGCTCACTTGGAGGGTAAAAAAGGAGCTTTATTGCATTGCACAAATGACTAACAAATAATTTATAGTAAAACGTAGTATACTAAAAGGACAAAAAATCCTTAGTGCTCCTTGGTATTTCTGAATGTAGTCTGAAATATATACTTCGTGGTTTATGATTTATGGTTTAAAATCGAAAAAAGTGACGTCATTGAGTCTTGGTTAAGAATTCTCTGAAGTTCTGGTTTTATTTAAACATATTCCATATACCAGATGGTGATCAGTTTTTAAGGCATTAGTTTCTTCCTTGATAAATTAGCAAAGTCGTAAAGGAATCGCTATAGAGAATTCAAAGAAGTTTTCAAAATCATTTTTATTTTTTCTTTATCTTGATCTAATTCTTAAATAATGCAAGAATAAATTTCAAGAAAATTATTATTATCATTTATCTAGTAGTCACGCGAAGTGTCATTTAAATCACTGTAATTTTATCAAATTGTTTTAGGGTAATTATCTACTCATCATTACACAACAAAGCTATTCAGTTAAAATTTGATTAGAAGAAATTTGAGTGCCTAAGAAATATTAGCTTTGTCAATTTTAAAGTTTTATTTTCTATTATTTTACAGTAAAAGTTTTTGCCAATTAAATAATTTGTGAAAATATTCAATAACTCGCCGAAATGTCGATAAAGCAGGAATATTACTTATATTTAAGAAAAACTGGATTTTTTTTATTGTACTTCAGAGATGTGGGAAGTTTTGTTTAATAATAGTCGATATATTTTTTTGTAAGTCTTACATAACCTTGGGACCAAAACGTACGAACCACTGTGGTACTAGAAATCGAATTTTATATAAGAGTTCACAACATGTGATGGCTTAACTTTTTATTGTGCTTGTAATATTTTTCAAGTTCATAAGATATGAAACCGATAATTAAATAACATCTTTTGCAATCAATATTTATTATGGTTAAAGTGATATTTTCTTTGGAAAAACACTTTTATTACCTATAAATATATGAAAATATTTCATAACACATCAAACAATTTATTATTAATTGAAATACGTTTATTTAAATAAAACAAGTTGCCTCTGTTTTAGGATTTGCGATTTATTTTTAAACAGAGTGATAGCCACTTTAATAGTATGGGAGATTGTGTGGTTCTACAACATACAAAGAAAGTACACTAAACTCACTTGACATACACCTTGTAAAACTTTTATGACTTAAGGCAAAGTACCCTTAGAAGTCAAACTGGCTATTGTATAACTTAATTCACTAACTCAGTTCACATATATACCTAGTAAAACTTTACAGCCCTATTATGGCAACAATGGACAGTAATAATCCTTGCGGTTCGAGTCCATAAAGCTTACAATAGCCAGTTTGACTCATAAGGGTGGTTTGGCTTAAGCCGCTTAAGTCATAAAAGTTTTACAAGGTGTATGTCAAGTGAGTTTAGTATATATGTTGCTTTAAATAAACAATTGTTTAAATAACTTGCCTCGAAATCCAGTAATTAAATAGCACACAACAGGCATTTTTTACGCTAGATTTTTATCTCCCGAGCGTAAATTAAGGAAGTATTGTAATCGAGTCCTTCACGCGACTGGTTACTTTCATATTTTCTCGATGGATTATGACCTCTAGAGTCCAAAAACATACATACACGTGTAGTTTATGACTACGTGTTGAGTTTTTACCTAAGGCATCCAGATTTTTGGAAAAAAAATCAAAATTATATAACAACATTTTGTAATTAAGTTTTGAAATTTTGCAGACGTTTTAAAATTATCGCACGGAAAATTTTTAATCAAAATATATTTTTATCCCCCAACAATTCATGACGTCATCTCAAAATTTTACGGAATAAATCCTATCGAAAATGTGCATGATTCGCAGAATCAAATCTTATAATTTTTCGAAACAGCTGAATTTGATATACTGTACATTATGGGCAGTATATAGAAGTTCTGTCGAAATAATCTTTGAAAAATTTTTTCAATATAAAAAAAAAAATGGATCTTTTGGGATAGGATCCGAAAAATGGTAAGTTTGTGTTGTCAGAAAATAAGTTTTTGTAGGGAAAACTCACTATAATCAATACAGTTGTCCTCGTTTTAAAATTTAGTTAAAAAATGTATGTGTATGTAGGTCATTGATAATATAATCTACAACAAATCTTAGTTAATAAAAAAAACAATCTCGTGTGTTAAAGTATAATTTCTTGCATTAGGTTTGCAAGCAACTATTTCAATACCGCATTTAGAAGCTATCTTCTAAGTAACTTTGAGCTACATAACTTTTCAAAATATATCTTTTTTTAAATACTTAGTTATGAAGTTATTGAAAAAATCAGAGTCTTTTTGAATATAAATATAATTTGATTTGCTGTGTATTTTGTCACTCGCTCTATTTTGTAAATATTAGTTACTATTTATGGAAATAGAGTCGTAGCTGCGCAGTTGTCCCACCACATCTTTTGTGAACCTCTATTGTTGCGTAATTAATTGTTTTAAACACGTTCCAATGACGCCCCGACTAATGAAAACCTGTAAACTTTATGGACATTAAATTATCACTCGAGAAATCACATATTACAGGTACATATAAAGCACACATTAAGTGTAAGCCCTGGAAAAATAATTCTTGATATTCTAAATTTAACTTTCATGGGTGGTCGGTCCGTTTTAATCTTTTTTATTCTGCCGGCTAGTAGACGTTAAGAACTCATTATAAAAAATAGTAATTACACTGTTATGTGGATAATGCATTTGCATAATGGCTTATAAGTACTAGTCAAATATAAAAAATTTCTAATAAGTAAAATATAATGTAGGTGCGAGATTTCGACAAGCACCACGAAAAAATCTCAGGAAGTGAATTTAATTTTAATAATAATAGCAACATCATCTCATGAATAGTCTTATTTACTTTTCTAAATTTAAGTTCTTCTAAACATTTTCAACCACATATTAGGTGGCTTAACGTCGCGTACAAATAAAGTTGGAAACCACCGAGAAAAAACAAATACAACACTTAAATACGACTGTATACAAACTATACTTGGCATTCAGAAATTTAAAAAAGATTTTTAATTGTACTACTGTTTTTTTAATAAAATTACTTGTGTTGTAACTATTTTAAATAATATCTTTCTCGCAAATTCAGTTTTTTACTGATTTTTCACGTGTATATAAGTACTTTATGAAAAAAATTACTCCTACTTTTTTACTTTTTAAGCCTTTATTTAACAAAAATATTTTTTCGACGAACTTTTGATTTTGCACTTTGCGCCTGTAAGGTTAGCGCGAAAGCTACAGAATGAAGAAAGCTACAAACTGAATAAAAAAAAAATCATACTACCGTGCCATTGTTTATTATTTGGCTTAAACAATAGTATAATACACACAACTATTGTACAATATCTTTGATTGTGTTGCTCGTGCACTGCAATGCTATAGAAAACATTGAACTTATTTATAATACAATCAGTCTTATGTCATGGCCCCACGAGTACAAAAATATGACACTAAAACATTTTAATAGCGACTATAATTAGAACACTACTATCAAAATTTACACAAAAAATAAATTACTTTCAAATTGAGTAAATGACTCGGAAGTCGTATGTGGTAGTTTAACGTTATGGAGTTACTACCCGTACACCTCCAGAACTGTTAAACAATTAAAAAAAAAATTGCACTTAAAAGTGTAAAATAACACTAAAAAAACTTGGGCCAAATTGTGACCCTATCGTGACTAGTTAAATTAAAAAGCTACAACTTATCTAAACTATTCCTAATTAAAACTAATCAGTCTTATGACTTAATTACGAATGAGAAGCTCTGATAGTATGTAAGAAAAATGACACTCTGTCAGTACATTCCTGTCCACACAGGTTACAGACAAACGGATTATGAAAGCCGTGAATCCCCATATGGATACTATACAAAACATCATCCCCAAAAGTAATTTTACAATACTGGCAACTCTTATTCTCCTTATTATTATTGTTATCACTTGCGTCATTTTCGGAACACGCAACTTCTTCTTTCTTCTCTTCTAGATTTTGTACAACTTCTACGTTGTCGAACATAGTAGTGGACGCGTCATCGTCATCTTCCGAATCATTAACAGTTGACGGATCGACTCTGAAAGCAGGACCTTTGCGACGATTTTTGTGTTGTTGAGCCAAACCGCTGGTCCCTGGTTTGCTCAAATCCAAAACTTTCGTATCAGGCTCGGCAGGTTCTGCTTGTGCAGAAGGTGGAGGCGAACTCGCACATGCAGAGGCGATGAGAGCTTGTCTTTCCTGAATCAGCTGTTGCAATATTTGAGGATTTGGAAACCCGGTGAAAAAGGGGTAATTTCCAAAAGGTAGTTGCTGAGGAAGCATCGGATTTAAGCTAAACGCATGCCGTTCCGGACGTGTAGGCGTTTCACTTGGTTGTGGCTGGGACTTAACTTTAGGGCCACGTCTTGTTCCATACACGTCGATGATTATATCAGGGCATGGATTGCCTTCTTCATCCAGGACCACGCTAGGATTGTGCTCATATCGTCGTAAATGGAGCTTCAAAGAGTGACAATATTTAGTGGCGTAGTTGCAATCTCGACAGCTGAAGCGATAAACGTTCGAATGCGACTTCATGTGTGAATTCAGCATTGACTTGTTAACGCAACTGTAGTCACACTTGCTGCAATGAAACGGTTTAGAACCTGCATGGTTCCGCATATGATACTCAAGATGATGCTTGTATTCAGTCACGAATGGGCATCTAGGACAGGTTAGCATTTTCTCTTCCCTAATGTGAATCTTGCTGTGGTTCCACTGATCAATCTTGGTGTTCGCGACAAAGTCGCACTGTTTACATTTAAACGTCTTCAATTTACCGTGAGAGTTGACTTTCGGTACTCGTAACGCTTCTTCGTATTCGTCTGCGTCGTCACTCTTGTTGCTCTGTGCGTCCATCGAATGTTCGCCGTTTCTCGGTGACAAATGCAAATTTTTCTCCATCGTCATTTGGAGTCGTCGTAGATGGTCCTCTTCTTCGTTTTTCACCTCATTTGGTGAAGCGCACGGCGTGAGAGTGGTATCTAGATCTTTTTCCTCTTTTTCGCTCTTTGGGGAAACTAGCGGTTCGGAATTTGGAGGTGTCAACGGGTTGTGACTGTACGGATTCATACCAAACATCGCCATTGCTTGTGGTAATGTGGGAGGCGAATAAAATCGGTTCGCTTGAGTGTTTTGCGTTTGCGACTGATGATACGCGTGTTGTAAATCTTGGCTGCTAGTATCACTTCCGGGTGAAGAGGAATGAAAGTCGCTGCCAGAAGCAACCCCGGAATCGTTTTTGTCTTCCTCCATTGGTTGGTGTTTCTGGAATAAAACGTGTTTATTTAAGTAATGGTGTTGGAAGAGAAAATTTTATTTTTTAAGCGGGTTTTAGCGAGCTCTGTTACTAAATTAAAAATAGCTAACTGTAGTAATAAAAACATGTTTTGTTTACAACCTAAATTCATATCAATGACACAACGGAGATATAAAAGCGTTAGAATGTATTTCGTGCTCGGATTAACAAAAATGGTTGTTTTCTTTTAGCGTTATAAAAAAACTTAAAAAATTTAAAAAACTTACTGCAATTTGCGCTGGATTTATCTGCCAAGCTGTATGCGGCGACCGTGGTTCCATAATGTTTGATTGATAGTTATTAATCGGACGAACTGATCCACCCTGCATGAATGCCGAAGTCATGTCTTTATCAATCATTTCAATTTTTATGCACTGATCTGTAATAGGAGTGAACACATTAGACGCTTTTAAAAAATGAATAAACTAACAAAACTAAACAGAAATCGAAAGATATAAAAATAGAAAAGTACCTAATTAGTGTTATTTTTAAAAACTACACATAACCACAAAACATACACACAAACACAAACAAAAAAGTTACAATAACAAGACGCTGATACTAATGAATAAAAATCTTAGTCACAACATTGTCATGACCGCGACTGAAGTACGAATGAAATAAGTTTTCGGACCATGCCAAATCACAGATAGCCATGTCCAGTCCGTCCTCCCACCCTTACTCGCTTTGACTTCACCCCTCCAATACATCCCCTCTCTTGAGCGCTTTCTAAAGCTCCACGATTTACGATACATCGCCATAATAAAGCTTTATACCAGATTAAAAAAGTAATCGTTCTTTTCCGAAAGAATAATAAAATGCGCCCAATAAAAGTTATATTAAAAATAGTTAAAAAAATATTGCTTCGTATTACTATTACAGCCCTCGAGTTATTAATGTAATTTTTCCCACTCAATCCATTCTTAGTTATGGCAAATCAATATGAAGAATATATGAACACTTTAATTTAAAAATAAGCACAACATAATTCATGAGTCAGTCTTTGACAGGTTCAAAAATTAACGAAAACGTTCTTTTCGATGGCGGTATCTTTAGAAATTTTGTTTTTAAGAAACCTTTTAACAAATTCTTAAAATACAGTTTCATCAGCTCGACTTAACTGGTCAGGGGTTATTTATTAGCCTGTCGTTATGCTAATTCTTCCCGAAACCCTTTCATTGGAAGGATTTTACCTGGGGCAAGTTTACGGTACGAACCGAAATTTCTCCAACAATAATGTTTCAAGGAACATTTACATTTTATGGAACTCTACTCTTTCCGTTAGCAAAAAAGCAATAAAAGTTTGACATGCAAATCTGTCACACAGAAACTTACCAATAAGCCGGTCCTTGAAGTAGGCAATTTTTCTACAAAACTTGTCCGTTGGAACTTTCAGATGTAAAATTCACGTTTTGCACAGTAAAAACTTTGAAGTGTCTTTTATGAGTGTCAAAGACTGAATGTTGATATTATCGGTGGTTTGTATGAATATATGGAACCAGCACATGAACCACCCCTTATCCCCACCACTACAGCTCCAACCCAACAAAACGTACACAAAATATTAGAGAGAAATCTTTTATGATCGGCCATTAGCATTTTAAGTATTTTCTGATTGTTATTGTAATTATGGCGGTTTTCTCCAGAAAGTCATTATTGAGCGTTTGTGTTCGCCGGTTGCAACTTTTTTGATTATTTTCTATCGGTCACTGAAAAAATCAAATACAAAGCGTGAAATAAATTCTGAAAAGAAACTATGACGTATTGTAAATAACCTGAAAATAGATGTGAACTGAACTGTTGCGTAAACAGATTTTGTAAAACACATAAAATATTTCAAGAAAATAACAAATAGCACGTATAACAGAGAAAAGAAATATTAGATCATGGATGTGTTAGCATGCAGACGAAAATTACTGGAACGCTTACACAATCACTATCTCAAAAAATAACATCAATCAAGTTTTACACGCATTTTATAAAAATAATAATAATAACACTTTGACTTGTTTCCTAAATAAATCAAAATAAGAAAAATATTTACTTGAACGGAAACGCAATAAAAAAGTCTTTTAAAACAGCAATTACTAGACCAAAGTAAAAAGGTCAAGGTGATTCCTTATCACTTTATAGAAAAAAACATTTTTATAATCGAAGAAGCGTGTTATTGAGGAAGTTTTTAAACAATCACATTGTCATTACATAATTGACTCTTGCTAATCACGTGTCTATTCAGTGAAAAGGTATAAAAGACGACGGCCCTTTTAGCAAGTTTTTTGTTTGGTCGATATCCAATATGCTGTTTATTTCGCGAAATTCATATTTCAAAGCAGCAACCATATTCGGCTCAGTCCATCTCGCTCTTCGCTATTTTTTCTCGACGTTGGTCTCCGTTCACCCCTTACAATTTCACCCTCGCCGATTTGCTATTGGCCACCCCTGCACGGCACTAAAGCCACCCTCAAACGCTACCCTTTGCTATTTTGTTGTTTTTCATGAAAAAAACAGCACAGTCATCGACTGGAAAGTATTTTTGCAGAGATCTGGAGATTTTATTGGATCGCAAGTGTTTAGAACGGGGTCCTTTTAACTTTTTGTGGTATTATTATGCAGTCTGATGGGTTCGTCTCTCGACAAATCTAAGCGAAAATGTTCGGTCTGTTTTAGTAAATTTATCGATTTATCAGTAAACAATGAGTGAGTTTGGGTCCGAAGAAAATTTACTAAACATACAAACAATAAGTACGCTGGGTAAATACTTTATATCTAAAAATAACAGTTTTATTTTTTCTTTGGATGCACTTTGGTTTTCTCGGGTAAATAGCAAAAGATATGGTAATCTTAGGGATGCGGATGTTGATAAACCAATTCAAATAAAAATTTCTGATATCGATGCATTTTTCAAAGGTCTGGCAGCCTAAAACGTACCAATATATTACGGATGAGACCGGCAAACACAGATTTTAAATAATCGACACGTCGCGTCGCTGTTTTATTATAACTGGTGTTCTGTCTGCGTTAAATAATACAATATCGTAGTGGTAAAACTGAAAAAATTTCCAAATTGGCTCTATATTTGGCTTTCAGTTTTAATGATATTTAATTTTGTTCAACATTTACAGTCATGAATTTCTCATTTGAAAAAAGAGGTTTTAATGTTAAATCAGAAACAACTTCAAAATCTCTACATAATTCTCGCATTTGTTAATATTTTTTTATTATTATAGAGATTTTGATTTATATTGTCATGTTGCTGTTTATGGTTAGAGAAAGCTTAAATAATGACATCATTATTAGTTTTGTTTATTTGCTAAATTTACTCATTTTGTGTCTAATTATAAGTATACATTGTTTTCAAGTCATAGACCTTACTCAATTATTCATTCATTTGGGTACCGTATGTTATTAGGACATACAATAAAAATTTGTAGTTACAATTTGTAGTTAAAATTATGATGCTAATTTAGTACGAAAATTTGTGTACAATATTCTGTTGTATTAAACATTAAAAAAATTACAGTGCGCAAATTGACATTTACTGATATTGTAAACTAATCCACACAATTTAACAAACATAATTCGAAAGTTTAAAAATGTTTCTGATTAAAATTACATAAATAAATGTTTAGGTAAATAAATAAATAAAATAATAATAGGGGGAATATAATTTTTGCAAAACACATTAACGGTATCAAGGTAAATTTTATTAATGAAAAATTAGCTGCCTAAGAATGTTTTTTCAGTACTGATTAAATCAAAATTTCAGTAATGTCAAGTCTTCAACTGTACCGCAATAGTAATTTAGCCGCTGCAAAAATCTCAGTGTTGTTACTTTAATAGTAATGATATAACTCTAAAATAAAGAATTTTTAGAAAAAAAATCTCTGCAATTTAAGATTTTTTTACTATAATAAAATAATAGTTCAAGTTCTTGGATACAAACATCCAAAATCTGCCATGATTAAAAAAGAAATTTTGACAAAATACAAAATGTGAATTATTTGTGGTGAAAAAGAACTCAAACAGAAATAAAAAGTATAGTTCGAGTTAATCGGAGTGTACTAAAATTTTTTAAGTTTTACGTTTTTAAGATAACCGATTAAATATATGGACTTCATTAATATTGTTTAGATGCTCTTTCTGTTTGTTTTGTTCGCAAGAGTGAGAGAAAATTTCCAATAGAATGAAGGAAACGGAAAACCTATATTTCGTCTTCTACAAACAGTCGTCGATCCAAACCATGTTTCTGCAGTAATTATACCGACAGAGCAATAAAAAACGCGATCAAAGGTAACCATGTATTTTTGAAAGTTTGTCTTTGATCGTTACATTTTCAGTTCCAATTTTCAAATTCATGGTAATCTAATAAAACGAAAATTGTATCAAAGACCAATCTTTAAAAATCCATGTTTGCTTTTGACTGTGTTTTTTATTGCTCTCTCGGTAAAAATCAATAAAGTATCAGCTAAAATTGTAACTGAATCGACCTAAAGACACACTGTTATTAATAGCAAGTCACTATAAATCATTTTTAACAAATCATTGTGAAAACGTATGTGAAAATGTAGCTACAGTTTATAATATCCCAAGCAATAAATAAAACATGTACTTAAAACATCTATCAGTATATTTATTATCAACATTTATAATATAATTTTTTGTTTAAATTTGTTAATAGGTTAAAAAACATTTATCTATCACAGATACTCTTAATTTATATTAGTTCAATTCAAATCAACATATTATATCGAAACACGTGCCGATAAAGTAAATTTATTTCTATTTTTATCATAAATTGATTCTCCTCTTGTGTGTAATTTTTATTCTAAAAAATTGTTATTACAGCTACAATAATCACATTATAAACTTGCGTTATACAAGTTTTGTGATAAGACTTGCCTGTCACTATCGAGATTAAAAAATATGGGTTATATAAACTTTAATGGAAAATATGTCCCACATTTTTTAAATTTTTAATAAAAAATGACTTAAAATAGATACCAGCAGTAACAGTATTTTATTTCCAACTTATAAAAAATGCAAAGCTATAGTGGAACCGAATAAATTTAGAGCGAAACCAACGCAACCCAATTTTTTGTGACGATTTTATTATTCATCTTAAAATTTCACATTTACGGCACAAAACATCCCGACAAAGTTAGACTTTCATATTTTTTGTACACTTTTATGGATAATCTAAAATGACAGCCAAATGTTCTGAAGCAAATGTGCAAAAAAGACAATAACGTTTCGGCCAACAAAAACCCTGTAACCGGACCTTCGAAAAAACCCTTTCTGAAAAGGGTGACTGACCCTTTTTAAATACATAGTATTCAAGGTAATAGTAATCCTAACATCTGCCGCTATGCAAAAGAGAAAACAACCCACAGTGAGGGCGGATGGCAACGTGTTTTCGTTATTTGTATTAGTTTGGGATGCGCAAACTGATATAAAATGTGTATTTCTCATATAAAAGTAAAAAATGAGGGTTCACAAGCTTCTATGTTTGAATAGAACTAAAAAACGCATCAATTTCCCTTCGAAATGTTTCACCTGACATTTCGCACCCCTATTTATCTAAATCGCACGAC